TTTTTTAAAAAGTACTCTAAACTGTATAAATAATGTAAAATTAAATTGAATTTATTAGCCAATCAGACGAACTTCTACCTATGTGGTGGAAGGTGTAAAACGAAATAATAAAAATTTTATTTATGCTAATCGAGATTATGCAATAATTAATGGTTAATGAAAACGCTATACTGGGACCATAGTAAAAAAAATGTAGCATTTATAGAGAATAAAATATATAGAGTGCATATATAAGCTGGGATCAGTGTATTTAGAACGTCGATATGGCTAAAAAAGGTATCTATACTTATTATTTATAACTATATATGCTTTATACGTCGTAACAATTTTTTTCGATAGTGGCTTACCTATGATTAATAGATATTCGTAATCTCAGTTATTACGTATACTTGATAATTATGAAAATGACATTTTTTTTTTATCTATTTGGAATATCACCACGAGTTTGTTTCTCTTGAGATGTGCTCTATTTGGATTGCCAACACGAGAATATTTCTTTTTAAAATGAATTGTTGCAATTTTTTTTTACACGAATTATTAAAAATGCCACCAAAGAATGACTATCCGCTAAAGTTTTCAGGTGAAGAACTTAGTGGAAAAGAAAAAAAGTTGTATAGAATATCAGGAAAATATTTCGAAAACCGCAAAACAAAAACATAGAGTATAGATAGTTTTTTAGATTATTTGAACAATAAAGGACGTTCCCATAAGTTTCCTTTAATCGTCAAAAAAGAATCTTTACGAGTTGGCTCGAAAAAAAATTGGAATGTGGAGACATAAACAGCCAAGTATATTTAAACTTGTTAAGAGAAACGAAAAAAGTTAAGTTTATTATTTTCTATAAAAAAATATTTTCTATAATATATAATGATGTACCCAGAGATACATAGCATTTTTTGGGTTGCAAACTTCATTTATAGATGACATATATTCATTCACTGAGATCTCATTTTGCGATGCGTAGAAATTATCAACTACCTCACTCGTAGGGATCAATATGTGATATAATAATATTCATTTACTGAGATCTCGTATTTTGCGATGCGTAGAAATTATCAACTACCTCACTCGTAGGGATCTATATGTGATATAATAATTTTCATTCACTGAGATCTCGTATTTTGCGATGCGTAGAAATTATCAACTACCTCACTCGTAGGGATCTATATGTGATATAATAATTTTCATTCACTGAGATCTCGTATTTTGCGATGCGTAGAAATTATCAACTACCTCACTCGTAGGGATCAAAATGTGATATAATAAATTTGATAGTGTGTATTACACATTTTATGAACTTTAACGATGTGATATCATTGTCTTGCAAGACATATTAAAGTGAGACATTAGATATCTCATTATGTATATATTCTTACGACATAGTTATTTTACTGAACAACATAATCTAATTTAAAAACAACTTAGCATTTATTTATAGACTAAATATTAATACACGTGTTTAATATTATTTTATAGAAAAAATCTGAAGCAACTCCTTCCAAATCACTTATTAAAACTGGAAAGCCGTGTGATAATTATATTAATTTTGATGGTATTTATCGTATTTTTTTTTTGTTGTCAAAGGTATCTTTTTTACAGTCTAACGAATGATTTACGATTTGTTCATTTATAGATTACATGAAGCAAAATATTACAAAAGAGACAGAAGTTACTTTGCATGTTGAAATAAGCAAGGATATTTCGATCTGGTTACATTTACGTTTATAAAGGTTTGTGATTTTTAATTTTTTGACTTATTTCATAAACATACTAATTAATATAATAATAGTGTTAAATAAAGAAAAAAAATCGGATCATTTATATAAAATTGGAAGAACGAAAAATGTGGATCGACGTTTAGAACAATGGGAAAACCATTGTAATTATAAAGTAAAATTAATCCAAGCTTTACCTGAAGGCAAAAAATGTAAATATACTCATAGTACAGAAAGGCTAATACATTTAGAATTGGAAGAATATCGAGTAGATTTATTGTGTGAGTGTTGTAAACAAAAACACAGTGAATGGTTTAAGTCAAGTAAAAAGGTGATATGTTCAATAGCGGAGAAATGGGTGAGTTTCGTAGAGAAGGCTTACGGATTTGATTAATAATTAAAATAATAATGTATATATAATACGCGTATATACACATATAATGTACATATTTATATATACTTTATTGTTATTCGTGATAGTCACATCACGATCGTCTGACTTTAACAATAGAAAGTTTTAAATAAAAAGAAGTATAAAGAAAGCCACCCTGGACCACTGCCCTAGAAAAGCAAACCATCTGAAATAAAATGAAGACAAATTGATTCAAACTGCAGATAAAATTCCTTGCAACATATTGATGCATATTTTATTTAGAAAAATTTTTCAAATAAAGTGATATAAGAGATTCTGCAGTTCTAAAAAGTAAGGTCGCCCTACAATAAAACTCATCGTCATCATTTCGAAAGAGTTCATTGAGAGATTCATGTAAACTTTCACCACAGAGGATAAAAAGTTTTGTGATAGAAAAGTTAACGCAGGTTTATTAAGAATTTCTTGAAGGAATCCTGGTCGCCACAGATTAAATATTTAAATTTTTCAATTGATAATTTAATAGCTTTTTCAACATCATTTAAACTCATACAAGAAGCTGATATTTCAATTATTTTTTTCCATTCTGTAGAAATTTGATAAGATAGTTCTCGGATATATTCTGCGTCATCGAGAGAATCTATTGTAGGAAACATTCTTGGAGTTGACATACACTCTCAGAAAATGTCAACGAAGCCAAACAAATTGATACAGCCGGCCATGCTAACAAGTTTGGCATGCTATCATGAGTAACATATCTATTTTCCACGTAAATACCACCTGTTACTAGTAAACAGTGAACTTTCATAGTAGAAGAAAATTTTTCTGAAGATTTGAATACTTTAAATGTTGTTAAATAAGTGGTTTTTCCATTCCATCGAAGAATATTATTTTGATTGTACTATTTAGAGGATTCATATGGTGAGAAAGATCTGTATCAATATACATCCATTCATCATTTTGCGTAGCAAAAAGGTGCTCAGATGTAAAAAAAGGCAGTTTTCTCCGGATAAAAACCATATAAAAACCTATTTCCTAGCAATACATCATTTCTACCAAGAACTTGACACGGTGCACCATTCTTACCCACAACTATGTCTCCTGGATTGAGTTCTTCGACAACGACCTTTGTACCATCAGCCATTGATATCAAAGTACCTGACCGAAGACATGTTCCCTTGTCTATATTTGGTGCAGAACTATTGGTTGCGTCTATACGGCTTGTGGGAGGAATTATTTCGTGTTTAATACAAACCAAGTCATCGATAACATCCTTCATGGCAGCATCCATTTGAACTTGAATATTACTATTATATTTTCCAACAACATGGCTTACTGTAATAAGTTCTAGTTTGGTATTTAAAACAACTGGTTTAACTTTGATAGAATTTAACCATTATTCACTTTCTAAATTACAAAGTGTCGTAGCATGGTATTTAGGATCTCCGCCATGCATCACCAAACTGGCTGTATTTATTGTCTCTTTTAAATGTTAAATTCCTCGGTTTCATCGTAAAGTTCGAATTGCATCTGAGGATCGAAAATACGAGCTTGAATTGCGGCCATGATGAGTTTATTATTTTGGGCATTTATAATAGATGAATCATTTTTGACAGTTATGGAACAATAACCACCAACCCAGACAGATTGAACCACACGAGTTCCATTTTGTTCAAAAAAATTTATCCACATTTCAACATTATTTTTGTCATTTTTGTCGTATTTATGAGAAAGCATATTTATGACATTTTTAAAAGCTTGAGATAATTGGAGCTTATCAACATTCAATGTAAACTTAAAATAATGGCGTTCGATTAAAAACGTTTGTTCTATTTTATGATTTTTATTTTTTGCAGATGACCCAATTGAATATCCATGACGCAAATCAAATTTTACATAAACTGGTAAATTGGGCAAATCAAGCCCAAGGTCGAGTAATCTTTTGCGGATATAGTCTTCCCTGTCTTCAAACCGTTCGCATCGAACAAAAGTCTCATCTGTTTCGCAAATACTAATTTTTATTTTTTAGCAAATAATAAAGGAAATGTTCAGATATTCATGTATTTTCACATGATAATTGGCCAATCAAATCATAGGTTTTAAAAAATACAAAACGAAGCAAAATTAATGCTATAAACAAATTTAATTTTAATATTTTGTCACCAAATAAGCAAATGTATCTTATTCCATTTATTAATTAAAAAATTAACAAACTTCGAATCATTACAATATATAGAAAACCCAATAATCAACGTCTAATTCTATATCAAAACCCGATGTATATGCACATATTATATAGATTATGTAGTCTTTAATATTCGACATGACATGATCTCTAATATTCGACACTATACGTACTTAAGCTGACATGAGTGCAGCCAGACCTTGATATAGTCATTCACAAAGTATAAAAATAATTCTATTTTCGTTTTACCAACCATTATATATAAAGCATAAGGGTATAGGCTAGTGATGGGCAAATCGCAGTTTTTTAAAAATCCCGCGCGGGATTCGCGGAATATAGTAAAGTTTTTTAATTTTTCATGAATTATAAAAATACATATAAAGATAATCAGTAGAAATATAATTTCTTGTTAAATAATATATTTTAAATACATTTAGCATTTTAAAATGATGCCAAATCGGTTTATTAGCACACATGTTATAATAGTGTTGTTTAAAGAATGACTTAATAATGGTTATATTTATTCTAACATGGAATAGTAAGTAAGAACTACCAACGGCAAAAAAAAATTTAATCAAGTATACGCATATATATATAGAATGATAATAAAAGTTCTACGTAGAAATGCAGACCGGGGTAGGGTCACCGACTATCTGCTGCGACAGACCCCAAAATCTGCTTTTTTCAAATGTCCATTTATGCGATAAATTTTTAGAGACATGCTACAAATTATGCGAATTATGCGACTCAAGTAAAAATATGCGATCACTTTATTTGGAAATAAATTTTAAAAAACTGACAAAATAAAATGAATTTATTATAATAATTACTACCGTTATAATATTATAGTATTATTAAACAGTAAATTTTTAATCTACTCTATATTATTGTTATTGAAGTACAAAAAATTTTAATGTCACAACTGATGTTTCAGAAAGTGTATGTTGATTGTCATCAAGAACATTTTATATAAAGAAAAATTTTGTTCTACATTCACACCTGATACTAGAAGCCAGATATAATCTAATGCAATCTTTGATAAAATTAGGTAAGTTTTGAGTTTTATCTTTCTAATAAATATCTAAATTAAGTCTTCATTATTTAAAAAATCTTCATTTAAGCCACAATAAATACCCCACTTTTGAATAATTTGATTGGTTGATGATTTGAATTCTTGAATTTCAGAGTATAAGTAGATATTTTGATGATGATGTTGAACATTAATATATCATGGATCAAAGCATTGAATTGTCTTGAATAAAGTTAATGCAGAATGCTGAGTAAGATGTTTTTTTAACTTATCAAATGCTAATTGATATGTTTCACTAAACATTATATTATATATTTCTATTTTAACATAATTTTCTTCAAATTTAAGTTTTATCTTTTCACTAAGAGAAGGTTCAATAATGCTTGATTGCAATGAAGTTTCAAGGTGCATTAAACATTGTATTATAAATAATGCAATAGGTTTATTTCTAGTTTCAAAAAATTCAAGATCTTTTACAAGACTAAAAACAAATTAAAATCAAATTAATATTAATAATTTATAAAATTAAAATAGTAATACTTATTACATTGTATTAAATAATATAAACATTATTAAAATTTTAAAAATAAAGATATTTAAGTTATTTTTAAAAATTATTACTAATTCTTAAATTGCTTGGTTCTTATTATTAATCTGTTCTTCTTTAATATAAAATAAACATAATTAATTAATATAATAATTAATTTAAATTTAAAAACAAATTTAAACTAAGAATTTCAATGAGTTTTAACAAATAATAAAGGTAAAGTAATTTGATTATTATCAGAATTAGTTATTATATTAAATTTTAAAAAGTCAATTTAATATTATTTATATACTAGAACATGAACAAATGATATTTTAATATTTTTTATAATATTAACTAAAATTAAAAATTTTTATAATTCCATTGAAATTGGGTAACAAGAAGTCCATTTGGGAAGACCCGAGTAGAGAGGTAGCTGGATCTTCGACGGCCCTACTGTA